GTTGTCCGCATCTTTTTCTGGATTTGTATCTTTGTCGGTTTGAGGGGAGTTGCTCGGTTACAACTTTTTGCCCCTCCGGAGTGAGATGGCCTTCAAATGTTGCTTCTGCTTCGGATTGATTTCGGTGTGGCTCGGCAGGCTGCCTTGATTTCTCTTAGAAAGTAGCTTGCCTATTTGCCCAACTTGTGTTTCCAAATTATGCACAAAAGCTTGAAGATGTCGTTGGCCCGCTTCAAGGTGTTGTGTGTAGTGTCCACCCCTATTTATAGTATGAATTTGGCATCCTTGTTGATTTGTTTATTGACTCGCTCCTACTGTCACTCTAGAAATAGGCCAAGTGTAACCGCTTCCTAAAGCATAGTATAGCGGGTTTGGGTTTTAATGTCAACCCGGGTCCTAGATTTGATGACTACTCGGTGAATTCTTGTTATGTAGCAGTGAAACTTTAGTGCAAGTCCAAACAAACAAAGCGAGTTAAACGGTTGTTTTCAAGTCGAGAGAGGTCACCCGGATATGGTTCCCCCTAGACTGCAGTTAAGCCGGATTGCAATTTACCAAGTTCAGTTTTCATGAAAGTTATACTGCGGAAGGTTCTTAAACAGTCTGAAGTCTCGACTAAAGGTCTCCAGACCCTCTCAATCTGAGTCTCTAGCGGGCGACTAACCTCCACCAGAGTAAACAGATTGAGGCCCTAACGAACCAAACCTCCACTACCGAATTGAATTCGGTACAGAATAGCGAATGGGCTCCTCGACTAAAGTCACCAATTCACTACCTTCAATTAAGGATGCTCTATCAACCTAGGCAGATATTCTCATTCTAGGTTAAAGAAGAAACAACAGGAATTTGATCAGGATTCAAGTCATTCAATCATTCAAACCTCAATCGAATATAATCAATTCATAAACTCTGTACTTGGGTTCATACAATCAGACCTAACATACAAATCTAGGGTTCCCAATACCCAGATGAATGGGGAAACTACTCCATGGAGAGAGAAGCAAAAGCAGATTCAGACGCGGAAATCATACAGTGAAGGATGAGTTTCGCCTCCTGGTTTTCAATCGGCACTTCTCCAAGCTCAAGCCGGGCTCCAATGGTGATGAAGATCAAGCTATGGCACTTGGGAACTCTGGTTTGTCGCTTTCTCTCTCTAGGAATCGCTCTGTCTCTCTAAAACTCGTAACCCTCGATTTTTAGCCTTCTTTTCCCTTAAAACTGCTCCCTATCGCGATACCCGGTCGAAATACCCGGTCGGGTATTTTGGGTGTCGACCGGGTATATTCAAAACGCGCGTTTCATGCCAGGGGAAAATCCCCGGTCTGCTCCAATAATCCCCGACCGGGGATTTTTGCCTTCTGCCCGGGCCCCCTTCTGTTTCCCACGGATGCCCAAAGACAAAAATCCCCGACCATGGCCAGAAAATACCCGGTCGGGTATTTCTGCTCATGGCCGGGTATTTTGGCTCTCCAGCACACTTCAAGCCTCACTTGCTCCTTTCGACCAGAATCTCGTTCCTTCGCCTTGATTCCAACGCCGGGTCCTGAAATATGACATAAACGCACAAACTAGCGTGAAATCGGCTTAAAACACGAGACGCAACATCTCAAACGGCTCCAGAATAGGGGTGAAAACATGTGTAATTATCGGTCTATCAAACTCCCCCACACTTAACCGTTTGCTTGTCCCCAAGCAAACCTAGCTCAAACCAATGCAACTCTCCAGATCTCTATAGCAACAAACAACCTCGATCGTAGGTAGAGGACTTCCTAGATCATTTAGCAGCTTACGAGGTCAACCGACGCACAATTCATCTCATAGCTTTCTCGGCGAGAACGCTAGTCTCGAGTCGGCATCATGGCAAATAGTGAACAGAGGACAAATGAATCGTGGATGAAGAGACTCTCAAAAACAAAAGATCATGGACTCACATTTTTCAAGGTGCTCTATTTTCTTCTTGAAGATGGTTGGAACCCCTTTTCTTTCTTTTTTTGCTTGTTTTTCTGTTTTTTTTTCCCTTCTTTTTCAAGGGTTCCAACCTGTTTTTCAGAAAATGGGGGCTCCCACCTAGCATAGGTTTTACGGGAGCCCGGATCTTACCGGCCATGCCAAGAGCGGATGTCTCGAGCCTCGTGCGGGGGAAAGACATGTAAGGGGGCTGGAGGTAGTAGGTGGAAATTGGGAATGGATTCCCGTCTCCCCTTACACACTTTCACCCTATTCGCACGGGAGACGTTAATTTAAAGCACATTTTCGAGCACCTGTTATTTCCAAAACATGATACAAGAGTCCATGACAGGTAGAGAGTCCACAACACCACACAATTCAAGGGTCCTAAGATCACTAATTCACACAATCAACCAACACAATATGAGGAAGAAAGGAGACTTCTTAAATGCATCAACATCCTCCATAGTGCTACACTACCTCCCTAGTTTGCACATTACTAAAGAGACTGTCAATTCAAAGCATACTGAGCAGGAAATTGCAAGGAACACGTACTTGGAGCCCTCAAATTTAAAAATTTGGACAGTGGACTAGGCTCCAAGCACACAAACAGATCTAATGCAGTCAAAAGATAAACATCCCCCCCACACTTAAGATCGACATTGCCCTCAATGGATAAGAGGGAAGGAAAGGGGAACGATGTTACCGGTGTGCACGGACTGCAGGAGACTGGAAATGGACCAGTCGGAATGAAGCGGACTAGAGAGAGGACCAGTCAGGCAGAAGCACAGCTAAAGGAAACCAAAGAGCTCAAACACAATACGTTAGGTCCAATGGTCAGCCCAATAGTACAGCATCCAAAATGAAAAGAAAAAAAAAAACGAAACCGACACAAGACAGTTTGCATTCTGACAAAGACAAAAACACTCAAAACATGCCACTAGGGCCCTCTGAGACCGGTGAAGTCGATCTGGTTCATAAGGTCGTCGTCGCCATCCTCCGGTGGTGGGTGTGGTGGTGAATGATCCCACCGGGTGGTCCAGTGGTGCTCCTCTGGGGGGTGACAAGCCTGGAGCAGGTGCTCCGAGTACTCCATCAAACGGCGGCCTCGATCTCTCTCTCGCCCGATGAGAGCACTAGTGACTCCCACATGGGTATCTAAGCGGCCAAGGCGCTCGTCAACACCCGCCAGCCTGGACTAGTACTCGGCCTGGTGGGCCGAATACTGCTGACAGAATTGGACCTGATGGTCCATGAGCTGCTGGTTCTGAAGACCAAGCTGCTGGAACTGGAGCCCCATCTGCTGGAACTGCTCTGTGAAGAAATCCATCGACGGTCCAGAGGCCATCGATGGACCAGAAGGACCGGAGGAGGACTCACCTCTCTCTGATCTCCGTCGAGGCTGAAGGTCCCCTGGTGGAGAGAGTGGGGGCTCCGGCTCATCGGCATCCATGGCCCCGACATCATCATCATCCACTTCCTCTCCGGAGTAGTCAGCGTCCTCCTCGTCCTCATCGAGGTCCACAACCTCCTCAGGGGGCATGGAAAGCCCATCCACCCAGGTGCGGATGTCATCAGTGGCCAGGAGGCGTGCACTGTGGAGCACTTCCCGGCCGAGGGGTTGGAGCCGCCCAGTGCAGAAGAATCCTGAAGCCCCTGGAAGCTGATGTCAAAATGGCGAGCCAACCGGGTGATCAGGGGACCACAGTAGAGATGGTTGGATTTTCCGTGGCACCGGGAGAAGGTGTTGGCCACGAAAGAACCCAAGTGGAGCATGTGCTCCGGGTACCCCATCGAGTACATGGCATACAGCACCCGCTTCGGAATCTTATACGAGCCAGCGACGTTGGGGACGATGGAGCGGGTGATCAGCAGGTTCAGGATGTGCCACTGCGGCTTGAGGGTGCTGACGTAGGTCTGGCCAGGATCGAAGTAGTCATACCCATGGGCGCGCCTGGCTATCCGGCGGTAGAACCCGTCCTGGTGCCAGTCGGTCGGGTTGGGGATCTCGATCTCATGGCGATCGAACGGGTCGTACTCGATCCCCAAGGCGTAGGCCAACCCGTCAATGGTCAGCTCCCGGGGGTAGCCACCCAGCCTGAATGTCACTGCATAGGAGTCCCAAGCCTTCTTGCTGTCGTACTTGAACGTGGTGTAGAACTCCCACACCAGCTCCGTGTATGTGGGCTCATCGATAGCCAGCAGCGTCCGCCAATCGCGGTGGCTAATGGCGGTTGTGAGCTCCTGTATGTAGTGGAGCTGCTCAAACACTGCCCACTCCAGATGGTGGTGGCGCTCCAATTTCCCCCGGATCACCTTGCGGAACTGATCCGCGTACTCCGGGTGCAGGCGCAGGCCTTGCACAAACGGATGGTCTAGAGACATGTTCCTGCAAAATCAACAAACCAAAGGTGGAGCCAAGAAAAACTTGCCAGGACCAACAACATGGGTTCATCACTTCCCCCACACTTAAGGACCACCTAGGCTAACAGTGTTACGCACAGCCGGTTGAATCGCAAGCGACTCAACCGGAATCAAGGCAAGAACCACAGAACCACTGCCCATTTCGCTTGGGAGTCCTGGCGAGTTTTGCTCATCTGGAGGCCTCCCCAAGTCATGCGCTGACTGCATGCTATTCAGCTTGCCATGCAGGAAGTCAACCGGATTTGAAATTTGCGGTGTTACTTGCATGTGCATGGTGGTATTCATCTCCATAGTCTTCATTAGGGGGGTGGTTTGGTTGCTCTCTCTATGATTTCCTAGAACCGAACCTTCATCGGGTTTGTGAGTCATCTAGGGGTTTTTGCGAGCTTGATCTTCCCTGGCCTGCTTCGATTTATCTTGCGCCGCTGTTGGAATCAGAGTCGTGGCTTTAGCCGGCCCATCGTGTCCTTTCTTGGGTATCTCCTTTCCCGGCTCTGAACCGGAGTTTTGTTTTCTTGATGCACGGCTTTTGGAGACTCCTCTTGGTCCTCGTTTGTTGTCCCTTCGTCATTCTCAGTATGGAGGGCTTGGAAGCGTGATCCCGAGGTATTGTACTCAAACGGAGTTCCTTATTTCGCAGGAGATGATGGAGCAACACGTGATTGATTGGGTGAGGTAGGTTTTTCATTGCGTGGTTTGCGCTTTGCGATCATCCACTCACCATAAATTTTTTCCGGTTGTGGTGCCTCTGTCTCTTTGGGAGTGACCACCGTCTCATCCTCCATGGGTTCAGCTGGCTTAGAGCACTGACAAGAGCCGTAGGTTTCATATTTCCCACACTGTAGGTAGATCCGCTCGAGTCCCTCAAATTGTATGAAATATTTTTTCCCGTCAATCCGGAAATGCGAAAGAAGTGGCTTGGTTAGGTCTACCTGAACGCACACCCTAGCATAATAACTTTGAGCACCTGTACGGGTTGCCGGGTCAACCCTGATCGGCTTCCCGATTCGACGTCCAATTTTCATAACAGCCTCGGGATGAAAAAAGTGTATCGGAATCTCGAGGAGGCGTGCCCAAACAAGAGTCGATGAGATTTCATGTTCATATGGGTTGAAGTGTCGATCCCACATATGCACCATCAAGTAGTTCTCTCCCATCATCCAAGGCCCCCCTGTTAGTGCACGTTCGTAGTCGATACCACTTGTGAACCGAACTAGAAAGTAACCCTTCTTCGCTGACCTCACCTGAATACCGCCAGCCTTAGCCCAGATCGAGTTCAGTCGTTTAGAGATGGAGGTACACGATGTTGAGCGTCCCAGTACCTTAACTACAAGAGCTGATCTCCACGGGCGAAAGTATTGTCGCTCTTCCGCTGCGGAGAACGGAATCGGCGGGCACAGCGGGTCGTCCTCTTCCTCGTGTTCAGCTTCACGTCCATCCTCTCTCGTGGCGGCTGCTATATCCTCCGAGTCGGAGTCAGCAACATACCACTCATCAGTCTTCGCGGGATCGCCAAACAAGCGACGCGCTGCTCCCATTCCATGGCTCCATGCAGAGGCTTTGGGGCTCTGAGTTAAAGGCGATATCGGATCTTTGGCGGCAGGTTCCATGTTTATGTCATTAGGGCTTTCATCGGAGGTATCATCAACCATGGTCGGCTTAGCTCTCTTCTTCGTTTGTTGTGCTTCCCTATCACCCTTCGGATTCGGGGAAGATGATTTAGTTGGAGGTCGTCTTTGGCCTGAGAGGATATCAGCTGAGTTGCTTCCCCCTTCGGCCGACGGTTCCGACACCGCCGCCATGGAGGCGAGTGGAACGGCGTAACCCTAGAAGCTCGAGTTTCCCTTCCTAATTTCTCGGAGCGAAAACCCTTGAAAAGGAACCGAATCCATCACACAGTTTTCTAGAATACTCCTAACATAGTTTATTGAGATAAACCCGTTTTGTGGGTAAAACGTTATCATCTCTAAATTATTTTTCCTCCATCACAATTCATTACATAATTAATGAAGGTGAATTAATTAGGACAAAAATTCAATTAAATCCATTTTTTGTTATAAAAAGTGAATTAGACAATATTATCCCAAAAATATCGTATTAACCGTAATTTTACGGTAACTTAAATTCCAATCAAACGGTGACACGCCAAAACACAACACCAAACTGCGACCAAGTGTAATCGCAGTCCGAGAATGCAGTAACAGGCAAGTTATATTATCAACCCGGGGTCTAGATCTACTGCTTACTCCGTGATTCTCTATTATCTAGCAAACTAGTTCGAGTGATTGTTGTTTAAAAGCAAAAGCAACAAGGAAGCAGTAAATTGTTCAGTTTTCAAAGTCAGGAAAGAGTCACTCGGGATTGAGTCCCTCTAGCCCCTTAGTTAGGTTCAATTGTAATTCCCTGGGTTGATTTACTGTTGATTAGACTGCGGAAGATCCGACAGTAGCCTGGAATCTCTTAAGCTGACCAAGCCCTCTCAGTCTAACTACCCGGCAGGCGACTAGTCTTCACCGGGATAGAAAGCTGAGGCTATGAACACAGAACTCCACTACTGGAATTGAATTCCAGTACAAAGTAGTAAACTGGCTAACTCTCGTATAGCCAATCTGCTACTATCGAATGAAGAGGCTCTAACAACCTAATCAGATTCTATCTATCTCAGGTTGCAGCAGAAATTGAGAAAAGCTGATCAGACTTCAAACAATTCAATAAACATGCATCATTCGATTAAAATCAAACAGTAATATCATCCCAAGTCATTACAATCAAATCCCTAACACAAGGAACTAGGGTTCTTCATACCCAAGTGAGAGAAGGGTTCTACTCCATAGAGAGAGAAGAGAAAACAGTAATCGGGGTAGTCATACTCATAACGATGAGGAAAATCTTCTCTGGGATGATGATTTCCACTCCTATGACGATCTCCAAGCTCGATTCGACGAAACCCAGCTCCGAGATAGCTTCTAGGACGTGTTCTTCGTACTTTCTCTCTCTAGGGCTCTGTTTTTGCTCTGAAAACTCGATCCTCCCACTTTTGGCTCGGAATAGGCTCTAAAACCAGGATTTCCCGACTTGCACGGCCAGGCCACACGGCCGTGCAGATCACCACTTTGGCCGTGCGGCTCAAAACGCGGCGTATGGTTTAGTTCTTAGGCTTCTCACACGGCCAGGGTGCACGGCCGTGCAGGGCTCCCGTCCAGCCCGTGCTCGGCCTCGGCAAAAACCACACGGCCAGGGTGCACTTTGCACGGCCGTGTGATTTTCATGGTTTTCCCGTGCGTGCTCTCGCATAATCCCGCACGGCCTGGCTTGGCCTTCGCACGGCCGTGTGATTCCCCTGGCCTGGCCGTGCAGCTTCCTTGAAACTTCGCCATTCGTCCGATCTTCGTCCAATCGACCCCAGACTCGCTCCTAAGCCTTCATTCACGTACTAGGATCTGAAATATCACAAACAAGCACAACCTAGCGTGAAATCGGCCTAAAACACGAGAATCAATACCTCAAACGGTGTGAGAACGGGGGTAAAAACATGTGTAAATGACGGTCTATCAAACTCCCCCACACTTAACCGTTTGCTTGTCCCCAAGCAAACCAAGTCAGACACCAGATAAGCTTACATATTTCAATCAACCAACATTGGGGACAAGTCATAAAGGCACAGAACACGTGAATCGCACTGGTTTTCAAACATCAATACATGAACAACCTCAATAACAACATGGACAACCACCACAAAGGACATTCGAGTGCAGCAAATCGAGTAAAGGAAGAGTCTCCCTTCTGTTCACTGGCCAACCTAGACTTGATTCAACCACTTACTCAAAACAGTCAACTCATGCATCCAACTCAAAACATCAGAATAGAGACCGAGCAATCTAGGTCCTCACCGGGGTACAAGAGCATATAGAAAATGAAAATGAATCACTCACTCTCGACCAGTGGGGTCAGGACAATTTGATGCGAAAGATGCGCATGCTATTTCTCTCAATCCCTATCATCTCTTCACCATGATGGCAGCCTCTAAATGCTAGAGTTCACATATGGGGTGTCACCACTAACTAATCAGGAGGTCTTAGACACAGGTTCAAATGACTAGCTAGGGTCTTGGACATGGGGAAAAAGCCTTTTAGGTGGTGGAAGTATTCATAGCAAAAGGTTCCATATTTCCAAACACACAATCACAGTCAAACAAACCGGTATTTTCTTTCTGCTATTCTGCATTACTCAATATCTCAAGAGCACAAGAGCGAAGGAGGCATAAACATCAGTATTTCCAAGCCAGACTCCTAAGAAACACTACTTAATGGGCATTATTCAGATTTTTGGTAGTGGCTCTCTTTTGCTTTCAATTTTTCTTTGTTTTTCTTTCATTTTTCTTTTCATTTCTTAAGAGAGCCACCACTTCTGCATAAATTTCAAACACCTGCCCAACTTTTAAGCACTACCTCCAACACTCACATAGACTTTAGCAGAAATAGCAGAGAATATGTAAAAACCACTCTGTGGAACCTTCTAAAAGATGCAACAAGGGTGATTTTTTTCATTATAGACCAAAAGAAAGGATAACACACGGCTCAAAGGGGCTGACTAGGGGATATGACACATCAGGACAGTCAGTTTTGGACGTGGGCTAATCCTATGCCCCCATCATCTTAGCTAGTGACAACGTGAATGCTACACATCATGGAAGAGGGATCTATCGCACAAGAAAGAAACGAGCAGGCTCAAATCTCACATGGCTACCTATATGCTCTATCTCACATTCTGATACCCTGAACTAGATGCATAAACGACTGTCAAGAACAAGTAATCAGACCAAGTCACAATTGGCAAGCAAACAGTTGAAAAACTGAACCCCTATATCGTTCTACTTCACATCTCAGTCCTCATCATAGGTTGTCCTAGTCGCAAACAAGTTGTCATGCATTCATCCGAAAACCAATCAATTCATCCATCAAAACACAGTGCCAATATGATCAAACAGCCGTACTTGGAGCCCTCAAATCGTAAGATTCGGACAGCGGACTAGGCTCCAAGCACCCAAATAAATATTCCAACCGATACAAAGCACCCCCCCACACTTAAGCACGACATTGCCCTCAATGGAGTAGAGGGAAAGATAAGGGGAACGATGTTACCGGATTGGAACACTGCTGGGGGACTGGAAGTGGACCAGTCAGCGAGAAACAAACGGGAGAGTGGACAATGCTGCACAAATCGAACACCAGAAACACACTAGCACACTGTGCGTTAGGGATAAGTGTTAGCCTAGACGGCTACATCAAACCACAAAGGAAAACCAAAAACAAAAACAAACGACACTAAGTTCAAGCTCCGCACACATGCAGCAAACACACAAGAGTCTAAACCGAAAAAGAAAACACACTGAGACGGGCAACGAGTACAGCCTACTCGTCGCCAAGATCGTCGAGGTTGATGTCGTTCATGAACGCGTCATCATCAGCAGCGCCAGCAGCACCATCATCACCGTCAGCTGGGGCATGCGGAGGGGAATCATCCCAGGGAGTCCTCCAGACAGGTGGATCGCCCGGGAGCAGCTGGAGCAGGTGCTGCTGAACCTCCTGCATGCGCCGTGAACGGCGCTTCTCCCGCTCGATGTGGGCGAGAGTCACTCCCTGCTGATTCTGGATCATGTTCAGCCGCTCGTCATAAGCACTCCCGCCTGTCACGCGGGTGACCCGGGTTCGGTCCCCGGCAACGGCGCCAAAAACTTGACACACCAAAACACAACACCAAACTGCGACCAAGTGTAATCGCAGTCCTAGAATGCAGTAACAGGCAAGTTATATTATCAACCCAGGGTCTAGATCTACTGCTTACTCCGTGATTCTCTATTATCTAGCAAACTAGTTCGAGTGATTGTTGTTTAAAATCAAAAGCAACAAGGAAGCAGTAAATTGTTCGGTTTTCAAAGTCAGGAAAGAGTCACTCGGGATTGAGTCCCCCTAGCCCCTTAGTTAGGTTCAATTGTAATTCCCTGGGTTGATTTACTGTTGATTAGACTGCGGAAGATCCGACAGTAGCCTGGAATCTCTTAAGCTGACCAAGCCCTCTCAGTCTAACTACCCGGCAGACGACTAGTCTTCACCGGGATAGAAAGCTGAGGCTATGAACACAGAACTCCACTACTGGAATTGAATTCCAGTACAAAGCAGTAAACTTGCTAACTCTCGTATAGCCAATCTGCTACTATCGAATGAAGAGGCTCTAACAACCTAATCAGATTCTATCTATCTCAGGTTGCAGCAGAAATTGAGAAAAGCTGATCAGACTTTAAACAATTCAATAAACATGCATCATTCGATTAAAATCAAACATTAATATCATCCCAAGTCATTACAATCAAATCCCTAACACAAGGAACTAGGGTTCTTCATACCCAAGTGAGAGAAGGGTTCTACTCCATAGAGAGAGAAGAGGAAACAGTAATCGGGGTAGTCATACTCATAACGATGAGGAAAATCTGCTCCGGGATGATGATTTCCACTCCTATGACGATCTCCAAGCTCGATTC